TTTTGTATATTTGAAAGTTGCTGAGAGGATAGATCTTAAAAATTCTTATCGCAAGAAAAAAATTTGTAACTATGTGTAGTGATAGATGTTAACTAGACTTATTGTGATCATTTCACAATATATACAAATATTGAGTAGCTCTATTGTAGAAAAAAATCAGTTGTATTTATATAAACTCACAATGTACAATCTGAAAATGAAATTAAAAACAATTTCATTTACAACAGCATCAAAATAATAATATATTTAGGAATAAATTTATTTATTTATTTAAAGATTTTATTTACTTGAGGGAGAGAGCACAAAGGCAGGGGGAGGGGCAGAGGCAGAGGGAGAAGCAGACTTCTCCTGCTGAGCAGGGATCCCGGGGCTCCATCCCAGGACCCTGTGGGATCATGACCTGAGCCAAAGGCAGACCCTTAACCAACTGACCCACTGCCCCTACTTAGGAATAAATTTAACCAAAAAGTGTAAAACTTAGAAAACTACAAAACATCTGGCTAAATAAATTTTAAAATTTTAAAAGATTTAAGCAAATGAAAAAACATCCCAAGTGTATAGATAGGAAGACTTAATACTGTTAAGATGGTAGTACTCCCCAAGTTGATCTATAGATTCAAAATAATTCCATCAGAATCCCAGATGACTTATTTGTAAAAACTGACAAGCTGATTCTAAATTCATACGCAATTGCAAGGGATCCAGAAGAACCAAAACAATCTTGAAAAAGGAAAACAAAGTAGGAGGACTCCTACTTCTCTATTTTAAAGTTACTATAAGGACAATCACACACTATTATATTGGTACAAGGATGGGAACATAGATCAATGGAATAGAATTGAGAGTGCAGAAATAAACCCAAACATCTATAAGATCAATCAATATTGATGATTCAGTTGAGAAAAATTGAGCAGGTTTTTAAATAAATGTGCTGCAACAACAGCATAGCCACTTGCAAAGAATGAGGTTGGGCCCTTATCTCTTATCATTTATAAAAATTAACTCAAAATGGATCAAACTGCTAAATTCAAGAGTTATAACTTTTTTAACTTAAATTTTGTTAGTTAACATACAATGTAATATTGATTTCTGGAGTAGAATTCAGTGATTCATCACTTACATATAGCACCCAGTGGTCATCACAACAAGTGCTCTCTTTAATACCCATCCCCCATCTAGTCCATCCCCCACTCACCTCCCTCCATCAACCGTGTTTGTTCTCTATCGTTGAGTTACTTATGGCTTGTTTCCCTTTCTCCTTTTTTTCTTTTCTCTCTTCCCATATGTTCATCTATTATCTTTCTAAAATTCCACATATGAGTGAGATCATATGGTATTTGTCTTTCTCTGACTTATTTCACTTAGCATAATACAAGGTAGGAAGACTTCTGTAAAACTCTCTGAAGAAAACACAGGAGCAAATCATCATAGTCTCAGACTACCAAAGGATACTTAGATATAACATCAAGAGCATGACCAACAAAAGAATTAGATAACTTTCATTTCAAGATCATTAAATATTCTGTGCTTCAAAGGACACCTTCTAAGAAGTGCAAAGACATCCCACCAAATGAAAGAATATATTTGCAAATCATGTATCTATTAAGGAACTTCTATCCAAAATATACTCTGACAACTCAATAATAGGCAACTAACTCAATTTTTAAATGGGCAAAGGATCTGAATAGACATTTCTCCAAAGAAGGTATACAAATGACCAATAATTATATGAAAAGACACTAAACATCTTTAATGATCAGGGAAAAGCAAATCAAAACCACAATGATGTATCACTTCACACCCACTAGAATGGCTATAATTTTAACAAATGGAAAAATAGCTGTTTTCAAGGTTTTGGAAAAATTGTAACCCCCAAACTGTATGACTGTCCTCATTATCTAATTTAAGAACATTTTTATCACCCCAAGAAGAAACCCTATACCTACCAGCAATCACTCCCAATTTGTCCTAACCCTGCCAACCCTAAGTAACTCTGATTTACTCTCTGAATCTCTAGACTTGCCTATTCTGGACATATCTTATTAATGTAATGTGGTCTTCTGTGACTGGCTCCTTTACTCAGCATAATGTTTTCAAGGACTATCTGTGTTGTGGCATGTATTTTTTATTGCCAAATTATATTGTATGGATATACCACATTTTCTTTGTCCATTCATCTATTTATAGGCATTTGGGTTGTTTCCACTTTTGGCTATTGTAAATAATGCTGCAATGAACAATCGTGTGCAAATTTTTGCATGAATATACATTTCCAGTGTTCTTGGGTGTATGTATAGGAGTGGAATTATGGGGTCATACAGTAACTCCATGTTTAATATTGGCCTTAAAGAATGAGTTGAGAAGTGTTTAATGTAATAGCTTTTGGGGACTTATTTTGTGTAAGCTTTATACATGTTTTCCTTGATCCATATGGCACTCCTGAAAAAAAAACTGTTATGAAGATTTTTGATGATATAGAATATGTTGTGCACAGAGCACACATCATTAGTTCAAGGTCATAGACGGTAATTTTCAGGACTGGGATTTCAATCTCAGGATTGTCATAATCAGAAGCACACAATCTTCATAACCAGCCATTTCATTTCACATTTTACTCTCTTCCTCATAGTTCTTTTCTACTCTCATCTCTGTAATAGCTGCATCCATATTCTTCTTTCCTGTCCTAAATAATTCTCGTGCAAACTCTTTTTCCACCAAGTCCTACTTATTCTACTTTATTTCCTCCATCCTCTTCCACTCGTACCAGGCTCAGCCAACACTTTAGTATCTTTTAGGGGTTTGGTTTGTTTTTAGCCCTTTTTAAATTTTAATAGCCATCCTCTGTGTTTTTCTATTAGCACAAGCCCACCTTTATATTACTACTGTTGGCTCTCAACATTCTTATTTTAGGGTGACTCTTATTCTTCTTTTAGGGTGACTCTAAATTATACCTATACTTAAATTGCACGTTGACTCTGGACAAAAATCTTTGGCTTTCACTCCCTTGATTATCCTTTTAGTTTTGTTACACTGATTTGTGGTGCTAAATATTTTTGAGTATAATAAACTTGACACTAGTTGACGTTTCTCTCCTTTAAGCAACTTGAGGTTTTCTCTGGACACTCGTCTTATTTTATCTTAAAGACACATTTTAGTTTTCCAAATCAATTTTCCCTTAAACATGACTGTCCTTATCTTGGCACATGGGTTCCACCTGATATCACTCTGCTTGACCTCTACTATCTTCATGGCATTTCCCTTTCCAAAGTTTATCCTTCAAGGTAAGCTCCTAGTCTTCTTGAAGTTATTCCGCTCTGCCTCTTGCCCCCACCATTTCTGCCCTCCACCATTTCTGGAATCTTTTCTAATAGGCTTCATCAGCTTCTAAGCACCACTTCTCACCTCTGCTTACCAGCTCTCATTCTCTGACATTCTTCTACCTAATGTCAACTGTATTAGGAAGTACTCACATTTATTTTGGAGTTACAGGTGTGTGTGTGTGTGTGTGTGTGTGTGTGTGTGTGTGTGTGTTTTAGAGAGAGCATCAGCCGGGTCAGGGGGAGTGGCAGGAACAGAGAGAGGGAGAGACAGTGAGAATCCCAAGCGGAGGGGGCTGAGCATGGGGCCCGATCTTACAACCCTGAGATCATGACCTCAGCTGAAATCAAGAGTTGGACACACCCAACTGACTGAGCCACCCAAGCACCCCTATGGGCTGAAACTGGATTTTTCTGTTTTGGTCCCCATTTGTGACTTTTAATTGTTTCCAAGAGGTTAAAGGGGTAGGATTCATATCTAAGCTGTTGTACTTACCATACTATTAAGTCTTTTTTTTTTTTTTTCCAATTGGGGGAGTCAGGGATCAAACCATAGAAGACTGGAGAGGAATAAAATACAACTCCAAATGCTGTAGAAGGAGACTGAAATTGTACACATGAAAACAAGATCCCTAAGGCATTGGAGGGTGTGAGATCCATAGCCATATGCAAGGAAAAGAGACATGATCTTATAAAAAAACATATTTGAAACTATGTGTCAGACCAGTTGGTTTGCTTTTTTGATTCTCCAAATGTCAAGTGAAACTGATGGTACCAGAACATGCACTCCAAGTATCATTAGTTTCCAAATGAAGAAAATGAGGTAACTCATCCAAATTCACATATTGCCTTACACACATTGGGGCCATCTTCTGAGTCACCACTATTACATACACATACACACAGCCTGACACTCCAGACAACCTGCCATCAGCCCCCTTCCAAGCTTTTGGATTACTCACCTTCAGTTTTTCTTGTGGGATTCGGGCTGAGACACCCAGATTTCTGTTCCATGAGCAGTGTCCAGGTCCTGCTACACACTCATCCACTGAGGAAGGAAAAAATGGCAATTTAGTCAATCAGTCCCAGGTCCCAGGTCCCAGCTCTCAGTAGGTTATGTGAAAATTAATAAGGAGAAACCTCATTAAAGTAGAGTCAGGAGGCTAGAAGAGGGTCTGTCAGTTATAGGAAGAATTGTCAATTAAGTACCCTCAAAAGGAAAGAATGTAAATTACAGGCCCAAGGGGAAAGATGTACATTGTATCACCTACAAGAAACTGACTACCCCTGCAGTTTGGCAATGATAAACCATTATCACCCTGGTTTTCTCCAACGGATTTTCCTTCAAAACAACTTCCCAACTTCCTCCTTCTTTTCCACGAAAGAGTTGTCCCTGTCCTTTGTTTGCTGGACTTGCTTACCATTTTGGCAGAACATTCTCCTCCTGAATTGCAATTCTGTTATTCCCAACAACCCATTTTGGTGGTAAAGTAATTGACACTTTTATTTTTAAGGTTAATAGATACAAGTTCTAAAAGAATCTTGGGTGAGGCTCCATTCTTCACTGTGGGCAAGCTTAGCGCAGTCAACCAAGACAAGCTACATGGGAGGTAGCTTCACCCTTTCCACCTCTAGACTACATTTCCCAGAAGTTCTTGCGGCTCTAATCAACTTCCGTGGGAACGCGGCAACCTTTTTCTATTTCTTCGGAAACATGTGGCTCCCAGGCACTGGCAGGGCCCATGGAGGAACCGTATCTCCAGGATGTGTGGGCTGTCTCCTGTGGGAACCCGACTCGGAGACTGCATTTGGAGCTAGAAGACCCCCTGCAGCGATCTGGAGAGGGGGAGCAGGGATATCGGCTTGGCCCAGGTTTATGCGCCGGCAGTAAAGCGAAGCGCCAGGCGCCATCTTGTCTGAGCCGACCTGCTTCCGGACTACACTTCCCAGAGGCCTCCGGAGGAACAGGGCCGCTCCTTCACTCGCCTGCCCGATTCTCGGCCTCCCGGCAAGGGGAACTACAAGGTGAGCGGCCTAAGTCTTGGGGGCTCGACCAGGCTGCGCAGGTGCGTCCGTGGGTTGGGGAGGAGCAGCCTGAAGGGGTGGTCTGGGCGAGTCTGGACTCAACGGCGCGTGTGAGTTCGTGGGACTGGGGGAAGGGACAAGAGGAACAGGATTCCATGTGTGCGGCTGTGACCTTATGTGACTGTACGGCGCTCTGTGTAGGGGTGTGATTGTCCCTGGGGTGGGTGTGTCATTGCGACTGACCATGCGCGGACCTCTGTTTACAGGTGTGGCTGGATGTCCCTGTTGTAGGTGTGTGGTTCTGACTGTGCGGCTCTGTGTCAGGTGTGACTGTCCCCACGGCGGGTCTGTGAGTGTGTGCGTTCCTTTTGTGTGACATTGTGTGTAGGAGGTGGGGAGTGTACAGAGTCTGATTATGCGGCCATGACTGTTACCTGAGGAGTGTGTGTGTGTTTGTGGTTGCGGTTGTGTTAGCAACCTAAGCCTTTGTGAGGACGTGTGAGTGGGAACACGTAACTTTTTGTGGAACCGTGTGTGCAGTTGGAGGGTGCCAGTAAGCATTGCCAGGGTGGCAGTGTGTGTTGTCCCAGTAGTTGTCTGAGATCCAGACAAGATTTTGGTTTTGGACAGCAGAAACTTCTCCCCTTCTGACATGCTCCGACAGGAATATTGTGAACAGCCTAGACTCCATCCCTCCTCTCCATGGGTGGTAGGTATGAGTACAGACCTACTACTGCTCTGGTCAGTCTAAGCCACAAGAAAGGCCTGGCCTGGCATCTCATGATTCCTTTCTCCTTCCTCAGTTCTGCTCTTCTCAGATAGGTCCCCAGAAGAAGGAGGAGGAATGGCTGTTGAGGAAGCCAAATAGAAGGTGTGAGGGGGTTTCCTTTTTAAGCTTTTCTTCTTCTGGATGGCCTCGTATATAACACAGATTCATCTATGTGACCTGGACAAATTTCCATTAAAGAAAATGATGGGAAGCTTTAGGGGTGGGCACACAAATCCCAACATTTCCCCTCATTTCCTTCTACATAGTGTTCACATACTAATTTAGAAAATAGCTCAATTTCTCCAATGTATTAAGCTTTTGCTTCTTTTTAAACACACACACATAGACACGTACACATGATTATTTTAAATAATTTGGAAAATGGGAAGTTACAGAGAGCAAAAGCAAACTACCACGCTGATATAACCATTGTCAATATATTGATTGATTTCCTTCTAACACATTTCCTGTGTACATACAGTATACATTATTTTCAAGATCAGAATCTCATAGCATTTATCATTTCAAATTTTTATATTTTCACTAAAATTTATAGCTATGATATAATTAGTTTTTCCTTGGTTAAAAATTCCTGAATATTACATACATACACAAAAGTGTTTAAAATATAGACATAGAGTTTAAGAATTATAAAGGGAACCTCTATATGACAAAAACTTGTTTCAGCCCTCCAGAAGCCTCTGTTCTACCTGCCCTGAGAATAAACCTACACTCTTCACCTCTTTAGGTAACCCTAATTCTGACTTTGGTGATAATGTATTTTCTTGTTGGTGTTTAAAAAAAACAAACCAAACAGTTTATTGTATATCTACACATCCCTAAATAATATAGTTTAGTTTTGTCTTTTTAACTATATAGAAATGAAATTGTGCTGGGTAATGTTGTTTTGAGTCTTTTTTTTTTTTTTCCACACAATATTGTATGTCTTAGGCTTATCCTTATTGTTATAAACCACAGTTATATATTTGGACATTGGTTGTTTCTTGTTTTGGGCTCACTTGAAAGGGCTGCTCTAAACATGTTTTTATGAGTACTCTGGTGCACATATGCATGCTTTCCTAGGGTATAAACATGCAAATCAATTGCCAGACCATAGGATATGTGTGTATCTTCAAATTTCCTAGATAATGCTGAACCGGTTTTCAATATGGTTGTAACAGTTAAATACTTACCAGCAGTTTATCAACATATCATCTGTATTCTAATACTTCATCACTTGGTATTTTAATTTTTTTATTTGCTGATACAGATATATCATTGTTTTTTAAAGTATAACATACATTCAAAAGTACAGAAATCAAAATATATGACTTGATGCATTTTTTAAAATGAGCATATTCATTTAACCAGATCTCAAATCAGATTAGGAAATAGAACATTACCCGCATTCTAGAAGCCTAATTCTTGTCCCATCCATTCACTACTCACCTCTCCCAGAGATAATCATCACTCTGTCTTCTACAGCCATAGATTAACTTTGTCTGTTCTGGAATTTCGTATAAATAGTATCACACAATTTGTGCTTGGCTTTTTTTAACATTGTATTTCACAGGTAATAATGAATATAATATGTAATAATATTATGTAGTATGAATATGCAGGATTCATCCATGTTGCATCATGTTGTGGATCATTCATTGTTATTGCCGTTTAAAATTCCATTCTATGGGGCGCCTGGGTGGCTCAGTTGGTTGAACGACTGCCTTCAGCTTGGGTCATGATCCCGGGCTCCCTGCTCAGCGGGGAGTCTGCTTCTCCCTCTGACCCTCCCCCCTCTCATGCTCTCTCTTTCATTCTCTCTCTCAAATAAATAAATGAATAAAATCTTTAAAAAAATAAAATTCCATTGTATGACTATAACAAAATTTATTTATCCATTCCATCATTGATTGGCATTTGAGTTGTTCCCAAGATTTCAGATTGGGGCTATTATGGAAAAGGCTACTCTGAACATTCTTCATGTCTTTTGGTGCACATATAAATGCATTCTGTTGGGTATACTCCTAGGAGTGAAATACTTATGTTGTAGGTTATGCATATATTCAGCATTAATATACACTGGTAGTTTTCCTAAATGATTCTATCAATTTACATTCCTACTTAATTGTATGAGAACAGACTTTAGAACAGAAGCTTTGCCAGGAAGAGCAACAATTTATAATAAAAAGGTTAGTCCACCAATAAGATACTATAGTCCTAAATGTACATACTTTTGTAAAATGTTTCAAATTTTAAGCAGAATTAAAAGATGTAGTGGACAAAACACAATCATAGTAGGGGATTTTTAGCATTTTTTTCACTTTTCACAGCACTTTTCACTGATAGAACAATCAGTGTATGTCCACTAAAGCTATATAATATTAGAACAGTATAATTGACAAACTTGACGTAAGTGTCATATGTGGAAAAGTGTACCTTATGACTACGGTATATATTATTTTCAGATGCTTATGAGACTTTATCCATATTAATCACATGCTGGACCATAAAGGAATCTCAATAAATTTTAAGACTGAAATAATGTTTTCTGACCACACTGGAATTCAGCCAGATGTCAATAACAAAAAGATGCCTAGAAATGTCCTTAATATTTGGGATTTAAGCAATGAATTTATAAATAACTGGTGACTCAAAGAAGAAATTGCAATGGAAATTAGAAAAATTTTTAACTATATGATAATAAAAATATATCAAAATGTGTGGCGTTGCTAAAGCTGAACCTGAGGAAAATATATAGCTGTGAATGCATAAGCTAGTAAAGAAGAATGTTGAAAAATTAATGATCTATGTATTCATCTCAAGATGTTTTTTTAAAAGATTATTTGAGAGCGCAAGAGAACGGGGGGAGGAGCAGAGGGAGAGGGACAAGCAGACTCCAACTGAGTGCGGAGCCTGACATGGGGCCTGATCTCATGACGCTGAGACCATGACCTGAGCCGAAACCCGTAGTCATGTGCTTAACCGACTGAGCCACCCAGGTGCCCCCATTTCAAGAAGTTAAGACAAAGTGTACTAAATTAAATCCAAAAAGAGCAAAAAAAATGGGAAATAATAATAGAGCTCAAATAAAAATTTATATATTTTGAAATATAAAATTAATGTACAACAGAGAAAATGAACAAAGCCAAAAATTTAGTTTTGGGAATAAAACTGATAAACCTCTAGGAAAATATAAAGAAAAAAAGGAGATAAGACACAGATTACCAAGTCAGATATGAGAAAGGCTGAGTTCTCACTTAACTCTTGGTTGGTCCCTGGGACTTGGTTGCATATTATACGGTCATTAGAACCTGAGCTGGTGGTCATTATGCTGAGTCCCTTTTTATATGTCATCAGACATGTAAGTTTATGTTTTTAATGTAGATTTTTATTTTTGTAACTCAGTTTCTTCACTGGGTGTGATGTGTGCTTAAAGTTGCATGATACGCAATGTCATCACAACTCATCATCCTGTCATAATATATTGAGCTAGGCTAGGTGTTTCTTTAAAAAACCTAAATCTTCCTAATATCACTAATTATTAGGGGTTTAATTTTGTTAATAAAATGTTCATTTCACAGGTAATGGATTGAGTATGCAGTGAGCTCTCACTTGGGACATTCAGCTTATTTATTATTTTATCATACCCTGTTTCTACTTGGATTTTTGTGTGCTCACTTGTGCCAACTAACTGTGATGCCCTTTCTGTCTGGGGTTATTGTGTGAGGCCACAGTTGTCCTTCCTGGTTTTGGTACAGTTTTTCCTATTTCTGAGGCTAACTGGCTTTTTCAAAGTTCCTTGAGTTTATACTTTTCAGATTGTACAAGTAGAAACAAGCACTTATACTAGAAATATAAATAATAAGACAAGAAAAAAAACGACACATATAATCACTCACTAATTATAGCCAGTAAAATATTGTATATTTTTATTCACCCTTTTTTGTGAACTTTATATTTTTCTCTCATGTGTTATTATGGACTTAAAGAATTTTTCAGTGTTTTAATTACCTTATGGTTGCAATGGACTCCATCATAGTACAAGGAGGAGCCGCAGAAGAAGTATTCATAATATACTGTTGCATGTTTCACTAAACGGCCAGTAAGGGCCCCTATTCGGAGACTTTTTTTTTTTAACTTATTAAGTAATCTCGGGATACCTGGGTGGCTCAGTCTGTTAAACATCTGCCTTTGGCTCAGGTCATAATCCCAGGGTCCTGGGATTGAGTCC